TTCAGAAACAAGAGCAAGACCCTGAGATGTTCCAAATCACATACATTGGCCACCACACGTGTAATGTTAATGACCAAACACAAGCTAAGACCGAGCCTTTTGATCATGGAATCATCATGGATTCAGACAACACAATGGCTGCAACCATTGTTCATGACCATGTCAATGCTAAGGTGCAAGAGCAAGAGAACAACATCAGTAGTGTGACAGTGGTAGGCGCAAGCACGGTTAAGGAGGAAGAGAATCAGAATGGTGAGAGTAAAGAGTATTGTGAGGCTTCTTCGACATGTGAGGACTTGTCATTGGTTTGGCATGACATGACAATGTTTGATGATCATCAACTAAATCATCAAAATCACTACTACCATGGTGAGACTAATACTACTTCTCATAATTTCGCTTTCGACAACGATCAGTTTTCGTCCTTATTCGACTCGTACTGCGCTTATGAAGGAACAAGTGCTATATGAACATCCGAATCCGGATTGATGAATCATAATCAGGCTTGTAATATTTTCTCATTTTCTCGCTTTGAGTATGGTTAGTAGAATTAATGTGATATTTTTGTTGTATGTTTGATAAAACACCATGAGATATATACTTCTCTTTCTACATCTCTCTTTATCATTTTTTGTAAACTGAGACTAGATAGATGTTTTGTATCTAATTATTTGCATTCACAACTTCATTAATTTTGGATATATAATTCATAAATCATTAGGTTGAGATTAAAATTGAAATATTTTGAATGGAATAAACTTTGAAAACTAAATTCCAACTGTGACAATATTTTTATGTGTTGTACTGGTATTTTTGATTGTTAATGCTTTCAAAATATGTGTACTATATATGATACTATAATATGATTACCTAAAGAGTGTAAAGATGACTTATCCATTGAAATTGCGGCTATGAATGTTTGGTGCTAAAAAGGAAGAAATTGGGACAAATGCATCTTGGAACTATCGTACGTGCTTTGTCTTTTTGTTGTTGCCTTTACATAAGCATCGCCGTGTACACTAGGGCATTAATTAGTGTTTGTTTTGGTAACACAAACTTTAATTAATTAATGTTTGTTTTGTTATCACAAACTTTAATTAAGCAAGTATATGTTCGGCACATCACATGTACTCGTTTTATGCACACGAAATTTATTTCAACCTGTAACGAACAGATAAACAGATCTATTGAAAGTTTTCAAAAAATGAGAAATTTGAGTATAATATAGATAAATAAGAAATAACTTCAAATGAAGCTCTTTTTTTTGGCCAAAAAATGAAGCTATTATCATGTAATTTTTTCTTAGAAAGATTCGTTCTCATAATTAAAGCTTTCAAGCATTTCAAGATTATCAAACTTTAACCAAAAAAAAGCATTTGAAGATTCAATAAATTAGACGATATATGAATTTTTTGATACTATAGTATGATAAAGTAATCAAATATAACCCCATAATTTTTTTTAAAACTATTTTTTAACGCAATATATATGTCTGTATATTATAACATCTTTTTTTTTTGGTTAAAGTGTATTATAACATCTACTTTCATATATGTGGTTATTGTGATTCTATTTATCTATATCAATACTTTGAACAAAAAAACTTGATCATATGATGAGTTTAATTTTTCGATACCCATAACGAAACTAATTTGAAATCATTCAACACCTTAAGCATCTTTTATATGTCACAATATACAGTTATAAAAATAATTGAGAATAAGTGTTCTTCTTTATCGACATAACAAACACACATGATGAACAAAAGGGCAAAACAAAGGCCCATTCATGATGAACAATGACGTAGAAAGGACCATAACTTCCACTCGAACAGCTGATTCAGACACTGAAGTCTTTTTATTTAATTATTTGGATTCTTTAGTCT